GTTGCGAAGATGTAAAAGAAACAGACACAAAGGTAGAAAAAAGGTGATTACTGTGCGAGTAGTCAAATATGACATATAGTGGGGTGATGGTAGTTTGAAGTGAGAAGTCAACTGTCAGTTAATAGACTCTTTTGCCGTATGAGTATACGTTGCCCAGGTCACACCACTTGGAGGTATGTCTATCGCGCACCCCAATATTCACATACGTGAGTGTAACGGCAATGAATAATTAGAATCATGACATCAAACCTATGATTTTCGTCATCACAGACAATTGAGCGTTTTAGTGTCCTCCAGAAAGCTTGCAATCAATGATGACCTACACCAAGACAAGTTTGTATATTCGTTGCAGAAGGCCAGTTCCTCGCCGGAAAAGAACCTCAAAAATGGTGTGGTAAAGGCGGCAAACTTCCAAACAAAGTGAAAGATGCCACTGAATTGAGAAACCACTTCTATCCCCTTTTTGATTAATTGAGCCTTCATGAGAAGCACAGCACTCCGAAAATAATGTGACTTGTACAGAGTCCAAGGGCGACTTTCTAATCATGCTAACTGAATTCTTTCAATTGTCATGGCTGTCAAATGGGTATTCTTCTCTACTGCCGTGGGTGATGTGAAGTGAATTAAAGAGGGTCTTAGATTAAACTTGGAGGTCTAAGGGGGATCGCGGAGTAATGTGGTTGAAAAGACCTGATTAACGCATTAATGTTCAAGAATTGGGTATATGTATGGCGGGAAGAGGATTTGGCCCCTTTCCATACCCTAGAAAAAAGTTGCGAATGTTGCCAAGCGACTTTTATGACTAGGGAAGTTTGAAAACATGTTTAGCCTCCGAAAACCCCTGCCTTCACAGGTCTTATTCCTATGGTCTATTAAGTATGTTTCGGGCGATGTAGAAAGTCAGTGAACATCATGCCTAGCAATTAATGTATAGAATGGAAGAATTTATTGATACCCTTCACAGGAAAAGCATAAAATTAGTTAGCCTCATTTTATTGCCAATGCCCATTTGTAATAATAAGAAGCGTACAACAAAGACAACTAAAAGCAGGTTGGGCTGAAGGGATATTTAGATCGGGATATCAAAGAACCTAATTATTCAGTAAATGAAGCGCTGAATTTTCGCCATTCTTATGAGGTATTTACTTTGCTGTTAAGTGTCCATATGTCCGTCTATAATGATTTGTTTCCTCTAATTAAGTATGAGCGTATGTATACCACAAAAAATAATAGGGAACGATTGATCGAATGACGTGATAGCCCGACTCTCGTTATTCTATTGGATTTTTAAAAGACTACATTATTGAAAGATATAAATTCACATGTAATTATTGAATGAATTTTTCTACCACGTTCATAGTTCACTTATTATCCCAAAATTTTTAAAAGAATGAAGTTTGTATGGTCTTAATTTCTTTCAGACAAAGATTATTCCTTGAACTTCACATTTATTTCTGACACATCGGTAATTAATATTTTGTCAGAGACGCAAACGGAAGGCTTGTTCTCAGCCATTAATTGTGGAGTGCATTAATATGCCTAGAAAATCAATGAGCCCGGAATCACAGATACGGTCAACTTATTTATACTGCATGTAAATCGCGTATGGTTCTACTGCTTCATCTTCACAAGCATTGCTGGATATATTTTGTCAGTCCGATGCTAAAATTGGATCGATTTGTCCATCGCATGCGGTTCACGCATGGATTTTATAAACAATCACAAACAACCAATGTCAGCAAACGTAATCAGGTTTGTCCGCGTTTGTGTATATATATTCTCAGCTTGCGATCGAGAATTAGCGTACAAACAAGGACAATGTGGTTCGTTTTAGTTCTGCAGGTGGTAATAGCCCTGGGTGATAATGCTCCTGAACAAATTCACTTGTCGCTGAGCGGTAAGATTTAAATATTTCATGTAACTCTTGTTGGATGCAAATGACAGTTTTTAAACCTATGCACCTTAAAAACCTGAAACTAAGTCTAAATGTTGCATATTCATAAGGGCTGAATCACCGTGAACAAACAAAATTGATGAAAAAACCTAGGCTACGCAAGGCATTTTTAAACAGTTCTGCCAATCTGCAGTGATTATTTGAATTAGTTTTAGGTATATTCAATTATTAAGCATGTAATTCATCTTCGTTGAATCTGTAGAAAATCGATATTTTTCAGTCGCCAGCATATCGATTTTTTGGTATTTGGTCTGTTAAACAATGAATAACTGTGAATACCAGATATAGGAAAGAATTCCTTTTTAGGAGATTTTCTGTTCTCACCAATCGTTCACATTAAAACATACAGTCATACCATTTTTTTGTGTTTTCAGATAAAATTAGGCAGCTAATGAATAATCAGCATCAGTGAATTCATTTCTGTCCTAATCTCACCTCGGTATGAATAAAAAGAGTTCACAAGATTGTCCAGGCTCTTTATATTAAATAATATTGTATAAGGCGTTGGAATTCAACCATTTTTTGGTATAAAGGCGGAAATATTGGATTAAACTTGACAACTGTATTCAAGACATGCTTAGAGAGTCAGGTTAAATGATTTCTAACTAATTTGACTTCATACAAGGATAGGGCAGTACAGATATTTTGTGAGAACTGGATCCTGACGCTAAAAGAAAAGGGATCCCCCAAGGCCCAACTTTGGAAAGGGAGTAGAGGAGGGGAATTGATAGTTAATGACTGATGAGGCTGAACCCAAGACCACGAGAGAAGATAAACACTACATTAATTGTATCAGATTTAACTATGAATCTATTTAACATTTTGAATTAAGGTTGATAAGGTTAAGATTGCCTGGAGATGATTAAAGCAACAATTATTTGTCCAAAAGTGGTGAACAATGAACCAATCTATGATGAACATGTAACCTCTACTTGACCAGACTCACCGTATTCGTGACGCGAAAGAGGCATGGTGAGGTGATGATGTGGCATTATTATTTCAATTGCCGTGCAATCAAGGAATTGGGTAGATATCAGTGCTCCATGATAAGAAGCACGTGGATCCATCACCATAGGGACACCTAGAATTTGTCATAATTGATTGTATTTAGGCAGACCATCGCCCCGTCAAAATTAATAAGTCATTGACGGACTATGGAAACCAAATATGCGCAAATAAGCAAACAACTTTTTCTTGCTTTATTTTTTAATGACGACACCACTGAACGCTACCATATAACTTTGTAAAATCAGATGTTTCGATCTTCAACGCCGGATCTCATGAAGATCGGATAACTTGATTTCTTTTTACATACAATGGTCAAAATTTCATAAAACGGGAAGCTAATAAACTGCGTCAAATTAATTCCCCTCTTCTCAACTACTTAAAAAACAAAGGAATAAAGAAACACCTTGATTAAATCATAAATATAACCAATAGATACTGAATATTGGAAACAAACATTAGTTTAAATCCAAAGGGAAACATGGCAGAAAGATATTAATTCTCAAGCACGAACTACTCTTTAAATGCATGTTGTACAACATAATTTCAGGAACCAAGCGTAGTAAGAGTACACTTCAATTTGTGGTTGCTAACTCAATCTTGCTGAACCACTCCTTCCGATCATATGCTGATTAATTATTGCGCTATAACAGACGCTTTCCAAAATGAAAAAAAAATGTTGATTTTTTTCGCTTTAATGTGATTTCAAAGTTGAACAGTATGAAACTACAATTCTTTGAAATGCAGATGAGGAAGACGGCATGACAATAACGTGGACAACGCTGAAAGAAGCTACCAACTCAGGTGTTTTATACGGCGTGGAAAAACCGGAAACCTATGCCTCAGCTACTCAAAAGGCTTTTGTTGATGGCGGTGAGGAACAACGCGTGACGTACATTCACACCGTCACATTGAGGAATCTTCAACCGAACACATCTTACGGTAAGAACTTACTTTACCCTCTGTCTGATAATCGTTCAACTTCTATTATTTAAAATTCCTGTCTAATACTTATCGTCATGCTCACCTCAATATAAGAAAAACCTGAAATGAGGATTCATACCCGCTTTTATTACCCTAAACAAGACTATTCAAAATTATTATTCTTTATTGGTAATAAGTTATAATACTTATTTGTTAGAATTTTATGCAATTGGTTCGTCCTTAAGATATGTTAAAAGAACATTGCGAATTGTTGAAAAAATCCACCTTTTTCCGAATATCAACTAGTATATGTTTTATATTTATAATTTAAAAGGAGTAAAATTTTTAACAGTTAACCGTGTTTGTTTAAAGGTAGGAGATTGAAATATCTCGCAGAAAGGCCTTTTATTGTGCTGGAATTGTAAAATATTCAATTTTTTTGACTTTATTTCTTACTGAGACGTTTTTAGATGTAGATGATAGCATCAATGGAGCATAATTCAAGAACCCATGAGCGAACCAATCAAAATTCTTCAATGAACTCGTAAGCACTCGTAAATCTATGAATCCAATATTGACCTTCACTATAACCTAATCATTAGGCAGATTTCCAGTCGTATATTGTTGTTGCTGAAAATATGGAATGTGTCTTTAGTTTACAACTTTTGTATACTGGTTACAAATTTAAACTTTCTGATAATTTTCCATGAATTCTATCTTGCAGTAGTATCATTGAACCATTTCGATCTGAGTTAATTAAAAGTGTACTTAGGCCGACTAAAATTAAACCATGTCCGACTTTACAAAAGGATGAACTTATTGCTGCTTCTCGCTCTAAAATATTTCCTTTTATCAGTTCTAAAACTGTGCTTTAAAAATGCATTAATCAAAATTCGTTAAAGTTAGGATCGTCAACAGCTATATCCTATACAGTGTTACAAATCGCTAGTTTGCAGTTTATACTAGTGACATGCTAATAAATCTTGATTAATATATCCTAAATGCACGCGAATCACAAAAGTGACAGCACTTCATGTAAGTGTCACTTTATTTGTTTTCCACTTTTCCTCAATTTCAATGTGATAAGGTCATAGGAGAACGAAAACACATTTGTCGGAGAGAAAACATGCGCAAATGTAGAGACAGTGGGAAATTTAATTAATTATGGGCAACTAAATGGATTACTGAAATTCCGATTTTCGAGCTATTCATTATTTTATCAATCTATTTATGCAACGCGGCATTATACACGCCCATGAATTCGATCACAACGATAAGGATAGATAGGGGTTCGAGCGACTTATTAATTTGCCCAATAGAAGGAAAATGTTTACCAATATTTGTGAATCGACGCCCTTCCGAAAAAACTGAGGTCATGGGTCGGTATCCGCCGACGTGTATCAAGTAAGCACTGGCTAGATTTTTTTTTAAAAATTTGAGGGTCCATCAACGGGGTAAATCATTGATTCTGCCTCCATTTCCACGATGAGTCTTGAAAAATACTTTCGTGAATGAATTCTGAAGTTTATACTTCGTATTCCTCTAAAATAAACAACGAACGATCCTCTTTGCAGTATTTCTTTAACAGTACTTTCGCCTATTTAATTAACAGATAATTAGCGATTTTACTTTTTCCTAATTAACGGTTTTTTATTGATGGTTCTACCCTTCTGCTGTTTCATTGTTTGTCTTTGATTTATCATTGTTAATTGCTGGATTTTTTCATCAATTAATCATTGCCAACCATCTGGTGTAGGTAAAACTAGTAATAATAAAGTTAAATTCGAATATTTACCATCTGCTGAAATTCTCTTAAAAACTTTGAATTAAATCGTAGAGCCCCCTTCGCAATTCGCGTAAATATTTAATTTCAGCATTCTTCTTTTACTTTGATCTGATAAGTTTTTAATAATTTATAGGCAGGCGAGCAGTGCTGTATTGGACCATTAAATTGCACGCACTACTGGATGGCCTAGTTGTCGCTGTTGAAATTTAACAATAATACTTTATTTTGCTATGATTTAGATACCAATGCCGAGAGAAATAGATCATTGAGTAATCACTTCGATACTATAAAAGTGATTACGTATGACAGGGAGACTTCCTCATAAAGTTGAAATTTAAGTGCATTTCTACTGCCTTGTCCAAATAATGGCATTCCAGAATACCTACAAGTCTAGACACAGAAAAGCTCATTCTTGAGATGTGAGTAGCTGATAAAGTTTTTTTTACCTTAAGTGGTTTCCTTTCGACTTCCTGTCGGTGAATTATTTATTCTCATTCATTTTGAGTTTTTTTAGCATTGATGCTATCGATATAATTTTCTCCTCTTAGAATTGACAGTCCTTAAAAATAAGTTCCTTTAAATCAAGACTTCTCGCTTTAAATGTCTGTATGGAGAGCAATGTTGGATGTTTGTGACTGAATTGCAGCGATTATTGCACGATGGATATTATCTCTGAATTAATTAGGCCAGATCCCGGAAGCCTTGTGTGGGATTTCAGTCTATAATTTGCCCAATTACGTAATTTTGCACTCAGAAGTTAAAATATGTAATCCTGGGCTTTCCTGGAGTGATAAGTGTTGCACAAATCGGTGCAAAATATCTTTTTTTGTTTTTATTGTTTAAAGTAACAATATATACGCCTTTAGATATCAACTTTGTATTAACTAGTGTGCAGTAAATATAAACCTATGTAACTACCTCTCCTGCTTTTCTAAACATATTCATAATGTATCTTCTCTCGCAATAAGCAATCTTCTCTTACCTTCACTCCGTCAATTCAACTTTGGCCGTTTAGAGCTTTTGGCAAGGTGGTAATCTGAGAGTTTATTGATGGTGCGACTGTCAAATAAGATCATTCATGCCAATGAAAGCATGAGAACGAGGAAGTAAAGATCGATTCTACTTTACTACTTACTCAAGCTGATGATTAGGAGATCAATTTGTATCAAAATGTAGGTTGGGCAATCATGAAGTCAATAACGCAAGATAAGATAAGGATAAAATGTGGCGTTCGGCAAATTTCCTTTTGTTATTCCTGCATATATCAGAACTACATTTAATTCCGCCAGTTGTGGTATTATATATGTTTTACCATTAACCTTCCTAAGGCTTTCAAAATTTAATAAACCAATAGTTATCAGAAAGTGGAGTGGCTTCTCGTATGATTAATTTTCTAAGAAACTTTTAAATCACTCTTATTCCTCGTGGCTTAATCGCTAAACAACGTTGATTACGCTAATAGATACTTACGCAAAGAGGACAAGAAAATCTAGACAATCATTGTCCAAAAAAAGATTGGCTCATTTTTTCCAACTGTTACCGCGCACCTCGGTATTGCACAGTATGCCAATTAACAGATAGGAATCTACTCTTGACATGCCACTTTATATTTCATCAAGTTAAACAGAAATATTTAAATATTTAAATATTTAAGCAAATATTGTACATAATCAAGAGGTAGATTTTTAGCTCACTCGTATCTTTGATGAAAATGAAAGAAGTAATTCATTATTTTTCTCCTCCAATTTCAGACATTTTTCTCTAGGTTATTGTGACCTACTTAACCAGATCCCTCCTGGCTTGTTAAAGAGAATTTAAAAGTGAGTTTATGCATCACGCAGTGACAGTATTTCAGCCTAGCCTAAGTAAACTAAATGGATTTTTAATTTATTTTAAAATAACACTTTCAAAGAATAACTGAAAACAAGAAGAATTTGCGTGGAATCTTAAACTGTATGCACCTTTCCCACAGGCATAGAAAGAGTATTTGAGAAGATTTAGTTAATAGATAGCATCAGGATCAAGAGACAGTGCCTTCAAATTGTTGGTTAGTTAAAAGAAATTAAATATAGACTCTTTCTTTGCTATGTAGCCATTACACACCCTAAAGTAACAGCATACAGCAGGCAAAAACTGCTTACCCAATTAATGATATTGTCTCTTCCAGTCTACAAAGTTGGGAACAATGACACCAACGGTGATTCAAATTGGTCTTCTCCTTATACCTTCCGAACGTTACCCATGGGCTCTAACTGGTCGGTCACTTGCGCCATGCTAGGAGATTTAGGGGCGGATAGAGGATTCTCAATTCCCCATTTGGAAGAAGAAGCCAAAGCCGGTGCTTATCATATGATCCTTCATAACGGTGACTTTGCCTACGATTTCGACAAGGTAAACTAAGGCTAAGTTGACTTCTGGCATTTGTCTTAAGCAAAGTCTCCAAATAACAATGAAGTCAAGATATGATTTGTCAATAAACTTCCAATTTTCCACAAAATTAATTAGCAAAAGCACTTTCAGTCACATTGTTACTATGAGTACGTAAATGCGTTGTTTCCGTTATTGTAAGTGAAACATATCAATGTCTACACTTAACACGAAACGATACATACATAAGTGACAGCTGGTGCTCAAGTTCAGTGCTCAAAACACTGGGTTTCTTCACCAGGTAGGCTGAAATTGTCACCATTGTTTAGATGATCACCAAAGCACGATGACCAATGAAAAATATAATGTCGATTTAGCGGCAATCTTTGCATTTCGAAGAGAATGCACGGAATATGGAGAATCAAAACGGACATTTTTAACTTGCCTAATTTCATAAAAACCAATGGGTATGATTTTGAGGAACGAGGGTGCCACTATAAAAGTGACCTCAATTAACTTGTGCGCCCTTACTACATTTATGCTCAAAGCGATTGACATCAGCAGTCAAACGTGTGTGTTGGGTTAGGTAGGCGGCGTTTTCGATTAATGATGGGATAATGCGAGTTTTGCCCGTGTTTTTGTTTACTTTGAGCTGTTTTAGGCTGTGTAGAAACATCAATGATCTGCCTTTCTAACCTGTTAGAGAATATTGTCTAGGCTAGGCAGTTCTATCCGGAATTAAGATAAGCTGAATACATGTATATATATATATATAATTAAGATGATTTTAAACGCCTTTCTGGACTGATATGTCAAAATATTTACGTCAAATTCGCAGACAGTTTAGAGGCAATGGCGATCAATTAAGTTAATTAAATGAGCAATTTATTATAAGTGGCAATGCAGTAATACGACCTTTATCATGTATAATTTCATCGAGTATTTGTGGAAGGTAATTTTGAATATTTCCTACAGGATATTCAGTACGAGTTGCGGTATGTCCTTTCTCATAGAAAGAAACCTACCGACATTCTATTTGGGAGGAGTTAAGATTTCACGGTGCTGTGACAAGAATTTTCAATTTGAAAACACAATCGTTTTTCTTTCGGAGACTCTACTAATCGAGCATTCCAAAAATCCGCCGAAATTCATTCGAGAGCGCTTAAAATCGCATACCCCAATTTACTAAATTCATTGGACTGAACGACAGATACCCAAGCGTTTAAGAAAGCCGAGAATCACTATTTGAACCCATTTTCATCATAGCCACGCTGCTTAATGTGAACTTCAAAGTTATGACAAAATATGCATTATTTTTCAGGAAAATGGACGCCTTGGAGACAGGTTTATGCGTCTAATGCAGGAGACAACGGCTCGAGTCCCTTACATGACTGCAGTTGGAAATCATGAAAGCGCATAGTACGTAAAAATCGATAATTTTAATTTCACCAACGTAATGGGCTGTTCTGGGGGTAAGCACTTAGATGCGAATGATCTTTTAAAATTGGAACGAGTGTTTGAATTCAGCGTTTCCTAATGATATTGGAGCATTTCGTGCACGACCATTTCTTATTTCTATTTCTGATTTCTGATTTAGTAACTTTTCGCATTACAAGAACCGTTTTAACATGCCAGGCAACAATGATGACATGTTCTACAGGTAATTGTGACACAATTAGCCTCAGCCTTTCAGGTTAATGGATTATTTTCACGAGAACCCCTCTTTACTTTCAGCATCGATGTTGGACCTATTCACTGGATTGCCTATGTCTCTGATTATTACTATTATATGCAATTCGGAACTGAACAAATATATCGACAGTACGCGTGGCTGGAAAAGGATTTGCAGGTACTTGGTCACGATGATTTATCCAGACTCAAAAATAGAATAGTAATCTTGCAAGCACGTAAAAATATAATTAATCTTCTATGCTGTACATCTAGTTGACAATTTAAAATTTAAATTTAAAATACTATCATCATCATCACTAGGGAAGTGAATAGTGTCAGCGCTACATGGATAACAAAATGAATGGTTACTGAGATGGAATGACAGAGGAGCAGCCTAGTGGAAAAATGTTTGACTTAAAAAATGAAATGCAATTAAATTACTCAATTTACTAAACAATTAGATTGTTATACAATTTGCGGAATGAGCACACTTCTTAAAGCCACGTTCTAACTTTAAACGTGTCAATTTCCTCTAGGTCTTTTGCAGATATTATGACAGCGCTTTTTAGTGCCTTTTGTGCAACAGAATACTTTTGCATACTGTTTTGTAATCTTCATTGTCAATATCATGTAATTGAATTTGAAGCATATTACTAATTTTCAGTCTGATTTAAACGGAAGTAAGCAATGGCAGTGGGTGATAAAATTATAGCAAATCATTGAAAACAATGTCAATGAATTCAGAAAGCAGGGGTGTTTACTAGATCACATTTGCAAAGAAAGTTGAGATACATATGGATGTCTTGCCATTGCAATACTATTTTGTTTGGTTCATTTTTCATTTTTTAAATTTCGGGTGGGCAATAGACTTACCTCCATGTGGTGCACTCTGGACAATATATACTCATATGACAAAAAAGTCTATAACTCGACGTTTGACTTTAAATTTTTATGATCAGCTTGAAACGAAGCTTCAGTGGAATGCTGGAGGGATGTCACAGGACATGATCCAAATCCAGAAAATCATAATATTAATTAACTATTATATATTTCCCCCCCCCCCCTTGTGAAAGCCGAAGTCAAATTAGGGGCTATTGATAAGTATCATACAGACTGCTATTTGAAATATATATATTTTAAACTGATTTTTCACCAGTTCCTCTTCCAAATTAACGGATATTTTGCAGAAATATTATTCAATATAACCAGATGATCTTATCTATTGCCAGTTAATTAATTTCTTATTTGGCATAAATTTCCGTCAAAATATTTTTGCATAATATATTGAAATTTATGCATTATCTTAATTAAATTATTAATTCATCGCAGTAGGATGAAAAACATTACCGACATTTATTATCACTAATAAATAATGACATTTTCTGTTTACCGTCTCTGATTTTATCATTAGCAGCCATTCTGACAAGATCATTTATTTCCAATTCTCGAAAATCGCAGTAACCAGCGTAATGTTAATATACAATTTTTGAAAGTCATTTTTTGCCTCTAAGACTAAAGAACCAAAAAAAACGTGTTATACATCTTTTTTGCTCAAGTATGTACAGAAAAGAGCTTCAATAATTGTCGGATTTAAGGAAGCTGGAAGGAGACGTTAATGGGCAAAGCGAAGGCATGTATAAGGAATTCCTTTAATTAGGCAATCAGAATTACCCCGCTACAAAAAGCAATTCCGCATGAATGATATTTTTTAATTTCGTGTTATGTCTGAGCGCGGTTTTGAGGGGCATTTTATGGTAAATAAGAACGATTGGATGTTGGATGAGAAAATCATGCGTTTGCGCATTATAAATTCTACGGCAGGGCAGAGCTTTTACAAGTTTAGCCCTCAGAAAAACAAAATACAGAAATACTGTGATGTTACTTCCAAATTATATTATATAGTGGATTTTGTGTGGATTCTAAGGCCATTAAAAGGCTCCATTTGCAGTCTTCAGATTATTTAAAACTCAATTGTATTTAATCGATTTCTATTTTTTTAAAAAAAATAATTGCTTTTTGGCTGCTTGGTTTAGTGAAATTCTCAGTCATGCCACTTTGAAGCACTTGTAATGCATATTTATACTCATTGAGGTTCAAACTTTATTACAAATTTAATTATTCAAAAGCAGTGGTTCCGTGGCGTAATGTTTAATATCACCAAATAATTGGTTCATAAAATGGATGGATTTCTGTATTATTTCGTTCATCAACTATTATAGCATTTTTTTTCCAATGCGATCTGGTCAATTAGTACAAGTTGGTATTAGTAACATTAATCAGTACCATCTTTGTCATAAATTGATAACTTCTGTACCTTTCTTTAAGGCTGACATTGTTTGCTTATCACTTTCCAGGAGGCAAACAAGCCGATAAACCGAGCGAAACGTCCATGGATCATAGCTTTCAGTCACAGACCCATGTACTGCTCAAACGACGACGATGAACACTGCCAAAACCCTGACAATCGAATTAGGGAGGGAATCAAAATCGCCGACGGGAAGTCAAAGTATTTTGTTCTTGGTCTGGAAGATCTTTTCTATCGCGAGGGTGTCGACATCGTATTTGGTGCTCATGAACATTCCTACGAGAGGTGTTACCCTGTTTATAAACAGAAGGTAGACATTTGTTATAAAACCCATTTTATTTAGTTGATCAAATTTCAATTACTACATAGAATTTCAAAATGTTGATTAGCATTAGTAAGTTTATATGTAATGAGGAATAGGACACATTTAATGATCATACGCTGAACGTTGCTCAAAATGTTGTTATTGCATTAAATTCCTCAACAAAATAAATTAATATTATTTATTTTTCACTCAGTAAATTTTACATCAAATTTCTCTTTTCATTCTTTATTTAAACTGTTACAGTTGTTTTTAGCAATGATACTTACATTACAAGTGCTGGAAAAAATAGTTAAGCACTGGAGTTTATATCTTATCACTGCGGTGTGCGATAGACTTACCTCCACGTGGTGCACCCTGGGCAACGTATATTCATACGGCAAAAAAGTCTATTAACTGGCAGTTGACTTCTCACTTCAAACTACCATCACTTCACTCTATGCCATATTCCACTATTTCCACAGTATTGACCTCACCTTTGTTCTACCTTTGCGTCTGTTTCTTTTACATCTTTGAAACACTCTTCTGTTCCCCCCCCCTCTCGACTATTTTCAATTTGGTGTTCCTTCCCCTCTGTGAAGCCTGAAGTCAACTAAAGGGC